ACACAATAAGGCAATGATATTATAGAATTATGCTTCGAACACTTTTTATTGTCTCATTTTCTTATGTTTTTATTAAAATATTACATAAAGCACATGCAACAGATATACACTCTTCATAACAATAGAATGCACTGATTGTACAGCAATAATGGCTCGAATGAGTATTACTCATTCGAGCCATTATTGCTGTACAATCAGTCATTAATACAACAATAAAAGGTGTTCGAAGTATAATTCTATAATATCATTACCTTATTGTGTTTGTATCATGATTTTTACCTGGGTAATGCATAGTATAGTTTGTACGTAGAAAATGTAACCGTATTTACATTCAAGAACTTACTCCAAACAGACGATAAAGAGTCGCAATACTTACTGGTAGGTTCTTCGCTTCTGTAAAAGCATAATCAAAGAATAATTTAAAAATCGCACTTTGTCAACTCCTACTCCAAAAACGTTGCTTTAGGAAATAGATGGTGTCAGTGTACAATGCGGTTTTGCGGCTTCTAGTAAATGGTAGTAGTTCCATAATTATTGATCAAGCCATCGCTAAGAGCTACTGAACGATCCTGTATAATTAAAATTATCCATTCTGTAAACTGAAGAGAGAAGGACTTTTACAAATCATTTTCTTTTAAGAGTTTTGGAAACTTTTTTTGAAGACCTTCAGTAACTCTGATGTTGGAAAAAGTAATATGCAACTTAAGAGTAGACTTTAAAGGCTATTTGATCCTTGACACTTTGAGTTTAAATATTCATGGTACATTTTTGTCTAGCCTAATAAAATTATCACATAGGGTTTCAAATTTAAGCATCAGACGGGTTATAATTAGTGGTATAATTTTGATAAAAACTTAACTTTAAGTCTGATTGAATAATTATCTTTTGTTATAAATTCTTTGATGTTCGACCTCATTTATACACGTAAGATCAACCATGTATACCACCAATCCAAAAATCTCGAGCAAATTTTATAAAAAATAATTATTCAATTATTATAAATATTAGGTTGGCCAAAAAGTTGCAAATATCAACTTTTTCGCAAGTGTTGCAGAACTTTTTGGTATTTAGCATCGTGTATAATAAAAATAGATGTGTCATAGTCCTGTTTCATTTCTAAAGGAGCGTATTCATATGCTTAGTCGCTTTTTTGCACTCTATTTCTAAATAAGTTTGTAGAAATTCGGTCTATCGAGACGCATCTTAAATATTTAAACCAAGAGATTCTGATATGGCTATTATAGTGAGCACATCCAGCAGCATTGAGTTGCATCATCAAAAATTGTCCTACTGGTAATAATAAATAATATACATAAGCAAGTCAACACATTGTTGTATACACTAAGATTTGTTTCTCATGACTAAGCATAAAAAAAAAATGAAATATATCATGAAGAAAAAGGGAGAAGAAAAGAAAAGACGAGAGAGAAGTTTTTTGTATTGATGGTAATTTTAACCGGATGTATAGAAATGGACCGTAACGAAGTTGAATAGAACGAATACGTTTAATGTACATTACGCGAAGCGACAGAACGATGAATATTCTCATTTTCGTTCTTTCCATTCCATTATTATGTCTCATTACGAATAATCGACTAATCATATAACTTAGTTCCGTTTTTTTTATTCAGAAAAGACAAACTATATTATCACTGATTTATCATTTACGTAAGAAGTTCTCTTCTTACTGGCTCTTGCGTGTCTTCGTTCAAAATATATAAGAGAAAACTACTGTTACGTTCATTACGTGTTACGTTTCTTACGTACATTCATTATTCGAATATTCTTTACTTGTATATAAATGAAACATAGTTTACTATAGTGAATAACAAATAATCTTTCGTTTCGTTCTTTTGAAGCTTACGTATTACGACCCATCTCTACGGATGTACAGGTTCTTGCATTACGTACATACAAGGCACAGAAATCCTTAACTGCCTCTCCCCTTTATCTACACTAAACCTTATCCAATACGATCAATCTAGAAGATCAAGCCATCTTAATCATGGCTCAAGAACTATCTTGACCTTTAATCGTTTTAAAATAAGGTGGCAAAGTTTATAGGTTCTCAGAACTTTTTTTGCCTTTCCAGTAGCATGCTTCTGTTTTTTTGTTTATGTGAAGATGTGTATTTGTGTTCCTTATTTTTTCACTAGAGCCGTAGCAAATAAGCAATGTTAACATTGCTTATTTGCTACGGCTCTACTATCTATCATCTACTTGTGGCTACTAAAATATAAATCAATCAATCAATCAATCAATCAGTACATTGTCCTAATTTGTGCAAAAATTCTGAGTTTTTTTTATTAGTATAGAAAATCACAATCAAACTCAGTGGCAAGAACTATATTTCTCAGTATTTTTGAGAAATTAATAAAGGAAAGTCTGATAATTTTCCCGGTATAGCATTGCACCATTTCCTTCAAAAAATAATGATCACCGAAAATGTGCGCGCAGAAACAGAAAATGGACACATTTTGTTCTATGTGGAACGTGTCCATGCGTCGCCATTTGCAACACAAAATGTATGCTTAGTAATGACGTACCAAATGTGTCGTTCACATATGGTGAAAGCCGCTTGCGCAATCGTTCTTTTTTCTTTTTCAATAAAAAGCTTAAATAAAAAAAAAATGTGTCGTTATTTAGGATACATTTTCTATCGCAAAATGGCGACGCATGGACACACTCTGTACAGAATGGAAAATAATATTATTCAAGGGAGGTACAGCTGGAACGACAAATGATATCAAAACGAATTATATATCAAATGAAAGCTCATCGAAAATGGTATTGATGAGTGTACAGTACCTACAAAACCATACAAACTTTAGTTTTAGAACTTCAATCAAGAGAACTACTACTACTAAAAGCGGAAAAACTGAAAACTTCGTATATTTGGTATTTTTTTTCGACTTGAACTGTTTTCTTCTGCTATCATTTACGCAAAAAGTGTACCAAAAGTGAGCACTAGGCTCTTTTTTGTACAAAGGAATTACGTTAATTTTGTTCTAAACGTTCTTATTGAGGATATATCGTTATTATTTGGGTGTTTTTTAAAACATATCGTTAAGAATGAAAAAAAAGAAGAAAAACAGAATATATTTCGTATCACTATCGTTTGGTGTGTCTACCAACGACAAAATTAATGCTACACCTATTTTTGATCTAATATATTTTTGCGTAAATGATAGCAGAAGAAAATAGTTCAAGTCGAAAAAAAAATACCAAATATACGAAGTTTTCAGTTTTTCTGCTTTTCGTATAATTTCATTTTTTTTTCTCTCTTGATTGAAGTGCTAAAGTTAAAGTTTGTATGTGGTTTTATAGAATATTTCGTGGCGCATCCTGTAAAATCAACACTAATCTTAGGATCCTAAAGAAACAAGCGAAAAATAGAAAATACTAAGAGGCTCATTCATTATGACACATTCGATAGAAACCTCCATAATTCTACAGCCAATAATCATCATACGGAATTTATAATCATCGATCCCATTTTCGATGAGCTTTCATTTGATATATAATTCGTTTTGATATCATTTGTCGTTCCAGCTGTACCCCCCTTGAATAATATTATTTTCCACCCTGTATAGAACAAAATGTGTTCATTCCGTGTATAAAAATATGTGTCGTCAAAGAACACATTATTTTTTTACAGCATATAGATTGCAATTTGCAAAGTGTCATATTGCATAGTTCAACGTCTAAAAATTGTTTTTGCTAAGAGAGTTCGTACAAGTGCATTAGAACTAATCTGTACTATGATATTCGGAACTAAAAATAGAATAAGAGAAATTCGTCGGCTACTAGTATTAGTATCCTAGGTAAGATTTGATCTGATTAAACTATAGAATCATGAGAATAAATTGGAGTCTGTTAATCAAAATGTTATTCTTCTACAATAAAGCACAAATAAATTTGTCATTACATTCTAAAAAACTATCGATAGTACCTTTTTAGTACAAATACTCAACATATGAACTACCAAACCAAATTTACTGTTTATAGTCTAGATGCTGTACAATAACTGAAGTTGTGTAATTGGATTAATGTTACTGGAGTAGTTGTTTTTTTTGTGCGAGCGGTACATTTCAGAAAAGTTCAAACAAGGTATTCAGTTTACTAATTAGAAGCTGATGAATCGAAAGAGATATTAACTTTGAGATACTTGCACTATTCATTATGGTTTTACAGTTACGGGCTAAAGAATGGCATTCCATTCACTCACATCATTCGAGATAAAAATTGTTAAGACTGGCATTTTCTGGAAGAACGGGCACATATTATGATATTCGAATTTTTTAAAGAGATAATTGTCCATAATAAAAGGATGATTATACACTGTAAAGGACACATTTTGTTCTGTAGAGAATGTGCCTATACGTCGCCATTTGCGACACAAAATATGTCCTTAGTAAAGATGTATAAAATGTGTCGATGTTAAGGATAGATTTTGTGTCACATGGACATATTGCCTATAGAACAAAATGTGTCCGTTCCATATATTTTTCGAGGGCACATTTTCGGACACATTATTTTTTACAGTGACTGATTGACATATCAATCGCTTTTCTTTGAAAATAATCGTCACTGAGGTGTTGAGATTTATTTGTTCTTAGTTCGCACATATCACAAACCAATACGTCTTCGTTTTCTACCTATGAATGGTTAGTAAGAAAAAAATATTTAGTAAGCCACAGCTGATGTCCTTGACTCTTTCATTGAAACACGTATGCACAAACCTGTCTGGTTTAAGATCATTTTTGTTAGCCATCATACGTTCTGTGCATTCCTATTTGTTTCGCAAAATCTGGAGATAATGAATCTATGAAAAATAGATTGCAAAAGTGAACGAGAGAAAAAAAGGCTTCTTCGGTGGCTTGGTTGAATGATTCTTATCTCCTATATAGTAGTGAGAGCTACTGTGGTTAGCTTTAACACATCTTTATTTTAACATTTACCCGTAAAGTAAGATAATCAACTGCAAGTAAAATCATAAGATGGCTGATGCATTATTTCAACAAGCCGATACAAATAGAGATAATCGATTAGATTTAAACGAATTTCGTAATCTCGTTTCTTCCACTGGGATAGGTGGAAGAAGTTTTGAATCATCTAATTACTCAAGTGGCGGATATTCCGATGCTTCTCTAGCTGGATTAGTTGGAGCTGATGGTGGATACAACTCGTACTCATCGGGCTCAGGCTACGATACCGGTACTGTCGGATTAGGAGGAGCTGTCGGTCTCTCTGGTGTGGAAGCGGGGGGTTACGGTTCATCATCATTTGAATCATCCAATTATTCATCAGGAACAGGATTGGATGTTTCAGGTTGGGGAGCAGGCGCTGGTGGGGCATATGGAGCTGCTGATTTGTCAGCAGTGAGTGGTGGTGTAGATGGATTGTTGCAAGGTGCAAATTATTCAACTGGAAGTACATCAGTTCAACAATATGCGACAGATGCTCAAGGATTATTTCAAGATTCAAATCCACAAATAATTCGTAAACCGGCACCAGGTGGCGATGTCACATACAAACAAAACATCCTAGTTCGATTCTTACAACCACCACCACCTCCACCAAGGATTGCTTTATATATTACGTACGTCAAACTGAGGGGGCAAAAATGAGTGCTAGATCGTTTAGTTACATATATTGAAAATGTTCAGCGTTATAGACGAACAGCCTAAATCAGGTCCATTGATAATCAGAGAAGTTCGACCACCACAGCCACCAGCGCCACCACCGCTCGTTGTGCGTCAACGCCCCCCAGTACCACCCCAAGTAAGCTTAGTAGTTCTTCAACACATACCCAACTTTGCTCATGAAACTAAACTCATTCATTCTTCCCTTCACAGCCATCCCCACTATTCCTTCGTGAAAGACCACCACCAACCCCAGCCTCAGTTGCAGCTCAAACAGGTAAACTCAAATACAGTCGAATGAAAAAGCCTGTGACTGACGTTTTGATTCACTTCAATTTTAGTCATCCGAAATCTAGCTGCAATGCCTACACCACCACGATCAGTCGTCATCGAACGGGTGGCTGCTCCTCCTCCAAAACCACGTCAGTATTCCTTTCGTATTTTCCAGTTTCACACTCGAAGTGAATAAATATCGTTTACCATCTTTAGGTGATATTATCGTTGAGCGATGGCTCCCATATGGCCCACAAGCTCAACGAAAAACAATTGTTCAACGTGCAGCTGCTGCTCAACAATATAAGGCTCCACGAAATATTATCATTCAATATGAACCAATTCAAGCTCATGTTGTTCGACAATTTCAACGACTCGGAGTTCAACAAGAAAATCCACAAACATATGTTCAGCGTTATGGTGCTGTATTACTCGATAGTGCGACACTTCTTCAACATGCACGAGCAGCCGGGGTTATCGAAGACCTCGTAAGTGCTTTGAAAAAAAGCTGTTCTCATACGAAGAGAAAAAAGTGCTTAGTAGTTAGATTAGTTTTCTGCGAGTCCATTGATTATTTTCAACGTTTTAATATTAGATTTGATAGCAAGAGTCTTTTTATCATATAACCCAATAGTAACTTATGGATAAGTGCAAGTGTATTTTCATTTAATTCAGAGCCCACCAGCTGGTGCTACTGTAGCATTCTCAGGTGCTTCCTATAGCGCAGAATCCACAGGAGCTACTGGTTTAACAACTAGTGAATTTGGTGGTGAATTCTCGAGTGCAGGCGGAGCCGGTTTCAATTCATCATCTTATGAATCTAGTTCCACATATGGTACTGGATCTGCCGATTTCGGTGGCTTAGAAACAAGTGGAGCTGGTGGTTATGGAAGTTCATTTGANAGCCCACCAGCTGGTGCTACTGTAGCATTCTCAGGTGCTTCCTATAGCGCAGAATCCACAGGAGCTACTGGTTTAACAACTAGTGAATTTGGTGGTGAATTCTCGAGTGCAGGCGGAGCCGGTTTCAATTCATCATCTTATGAATCTAGTTCCACATATGGTACTGGATCTGCCGATTTCGGTGGCTTAGAAACAAGTGGAGCTGGTGGTTATGGAAGTTCATTTGACTCTTCATCGTATTCTTCAACTGGTGATTTAGGAGGAGTTGACGTAACTAGTGGACTTGTAGGAGGATATGATACATCAGGGTTAAGTGGCTCGGCAAGTTATTCATCGTCATCATACGGAACTGGAGCTGGAGGTGTCCATGCAGCCTTTCAATCTGCTGATACCAATCGCGATGGAACTTTAAGCCGCGATGAATTCAGAAATTTTGTTGGCAATAATTTGTAAGTTTTAACTCTAAAAGATGTATGTCACATTTGTTTCCTTTATTGTGTTGTTTAGTGCCTAATATGATAGATAAATGAGTGAATACAAACGGTGATATAGCTAAATTGTATTTAGAAAATTACTCCAGATGTTAAAAAGATGTTTCCATTTTCAGCGACTAGGTTTATTTTCACATTTTTCTTACCATTAGCATTATTTTGTAGCATCAGCTTTCTTCATCGAACGTTTATTTGTAATTAGATTATTTCCTATAATAAATATGCAGTTAAAAAAACAGTTTTATTTATTTGAAAATGATTAAGAAAATTATGGCATTCAACCTTTCTCCAAAGTATTGTGGTATTTATAAAGTTATTCTGGTCAATCCTTGCAGTACTTATCTATACAGTGGACCGCAAAAGCAGCCCTCTCTGTGTAACTCAGGAACCATGATAGCTAGGGACTTCTGATTTTGTACGATCATTGTTTTCACCGAATGCTGATCGTCCAGCAAGTTTCGGCCTCTTTTCTTAGATGGTTCGTGAGATATAAGCATTTCATTTCCTTTCTATAAAATACTAATAACTCCTGATTGATTTTTTACAATGTTTCGTCGACTGTTTTTTCCCCATAGGTTTCTGTAATTATATTTTTACATAATTGTGATACATACTGATCACGGAAGCTATGGTAGAATCGGCCACCCTTATTTTCTCAAGTTCATCTCTCGGTGTATGTTACATTAGCGTCTGCTCATTCGCAGCGGATTTCTGGAACCGTAAAATATTTAGCGTTCACACTTTGACTGAAGTGTCTATAGACACTTCAATTTTGAAGTCAAACTGATGTTCCTTGAATGAATTAAGAATTTATTTTGGAAGAAACTCATGTCTCATTTTCATAGAGTAGGGAAAAGAGGCCTAAACTTGTTGGGTGATCAGCATTCGGTGAGAACAATGATCACGCAAAATCAGAAATCCCTAGCTATTATGGTTCTTCAGTTGTAGAGGGGATGGGGCTACTTTTCTGGCCCACTGTAGTTGTGATTTTGAACGTATAGCTAAGTTATGTCTGTGGTTATTAGCCTTTTGTCGAATATAATCTAATATGTATTTTACTTTATAAGAGAAAAAAAATCATTTTAAAACGGAACAAATGAACTGACTTACATAGCTATTAAAAATAGTGAGATAGAGAAGATAAATCCTTTTTAGGAGGGGTTTATCAAATCTTAATCAACATTTGTATAAAGAATTTCATTTATTAACTAAAACAGAAAGAAGAATATTTCGTTCCTATGTCAACGTACGTTATTCGTGAGTTGCTCAAAAAAATCTTAAGAAAGTCGGACGACATCGTCCTCTAGAGAAACAAATCATTCGATTGACAAGAAATGTTTTTGACCCACCACGTCATGAACAAACGATCTACCGTCAAAATGATGATATAAATTTTGAAGCAAGCACTATTAGAAAACAATCGTGGATTTTTTATATCCAGAGCAAACGAGTTCATCTGGACAAAACAAATGAGTCCAAAAGCACAGATGTTTATATCAGCTCAGAAAGAAAACGTCTTTCTTTTTAGTAAGCATTCTCCGATACGTATATATATATATATATCCCATCGAGAGAAGAAGACTTGTACTAAAAAACAAACTCTAACTATTTTATAACCATTCTCTCCCAGTGTTGAGCAGCAGACTGACAAAAGACGAATAGTTTAAGATAGAAAAATTCGCTTGCTTATTGGATCTTTTGTTCGAGAAATTCCCGAAATTCAGTAGAATCAACAGAGCCCTCCCTAGAAACATTCAAATACAGTGTGAATTAGTGCACACGAAAAAGTCGGATGAAATGCTAATTGTAGTATGGTGTTTTTTAAAATTACCATACTTATTTTTATCAGGTGCTTGAAATGCAGTTGCAACAAAATCAAAAGCACTCGCATTCTGACACAATGCTAATCCATCTCTACCGCTGCCTTCGAACTAGATGATCCATAACTGGTGCCATGTGACTTTGCAAATATTGCGTGATTTTACAAAACGAAAACAAGAATTCATTTTTGGATGCGATGTGAAAAGCAGTTATATAGGCTATGAAAGCGTAACATATTACACTAACACGATCAATGTTTGCTCTAGAGACGCACAACATTCACTTTGTTATTTTAATTGACCAATGTTGGTTTTCAGACGCTGTGTCAAAATTTGTGAAAAAGACATGAGCCCAATGATGAAATCTGTTAGTGTTCAAACTTCGGAAAGTAAGTTTCCAAAACCCACATCCGATGTGGCACATTCCATGGTCAATAGACTTCGAGACAGACATTTTAGTTAGTTTACTAGGCACAAGTTAGGTATGCTCACATTTTCCTCTATAGGATATGTTTTAGTAAATAATAATTCGCTGCTAAATAACCATGTATAATGAAACCCAAGCAAATATCACCTATGAGAAAAATCTAGATACATTTCGTCTGTAATCGGGCGATACACGATTAGTTGTCATCTAGAGACCTGCAACTCGGTCGGGTTCAGGTTGAATATTTGGCGACGCAATTTAAAATATAAATAATATTTTTAGCTTTGTATTACTGGTTGAAAGTTATCTCTACTGGAATTTCCAGTTGAAAGACTTGTTTCAGAACAACTGCATTCACTAAGTCGATTAATGATTGCTTTCTTTGCACATACGAGAGTGCTTCCTGCACTGAAATTAATGGTGATACATCCCTTACTGATTTTTTTCAATGTACTGTTTTAAACACCCGTACATAGAAGACTTTACTATAATGCTCTCTACTTGCTATCTTAGTATGACGTGATAATGACTGACCAATGAGAAAAAGATTGTGGTCATCATCTCGGTTAAGATAATCTATTGACAAAGTGCACTGAGAAATTTTCAATAGATTAACCTTTTAGACAAAATGACCAACCAGAAGTCGTTCAAAAAATGTTTTTTGAACTACGAGATTCTACAATATGCACCGAAAAACTTTTGTCTAACAGGACAAGTCTATATTTTTTTTCAAACACAGTTATCTGGTGAGATTGTTTTCATCGGGTCGGGTTCAGATGTTATCGGGTCGGGTTCGGGTTAAGTTGTTGTCGGGTCGGGTCGGGTGCGGGCCGGTATTTTGGCAGTCGGGTCGGGTTCGGGTTAGGTTTTCTTAACTCGTGCAGGTCTCTATTGTCATCTAGATTGCTAGTTGGAAAAGGGACTTTTGTCTGCAGGTGCATCTAGTAATAGTTGAATCGATCGATTATCGGGCGATAAATCGATAGGTGTAACTAGAAAAAATCTAGTAATCGCCCAATTACTAGATTTCCACTGTCGTTACACAGTAGTCGCAATCAAGTAAAAATCTAGTAATGTAGATGACTCGGGCGATACTAGATTTTTTTTGATGCTTGGAAACTACAGTGCTTTTTGATCAATGATTTAAATTGAATTGTTTAGAACATTATGCACAACATAACACAATTGTGAATGATTTTTTGAGGACATAGAAAGTGGCAAAATCGATGTCTCTCGTCCCGGAGCAAATTATTACCACCGCCCACGTCAGACGAGAAGAAAAAAGTGCCTCAAGTTGTGGAAAAGTTTCTGTGCATATGTAGCTCAATATGACCTGCAAACTTCTTTTTTGTATTAGTATATATGAATACCCTTTAGAGATTTCATAGAGGTGTGAGAGTATGTGCATCGAATTCGACTCTCTTTCTAACATATAGTTCGAGTTAAGAAGCCAAAATGGATCAACTTTTTGAAAACAGCTAACTCATGGATTCTCCTTTCACTTCTTTCTTTAAAGTAAGTCAATTTTTCTGAACGAGGAAGTAAAAGTTTTGAAAAAGCAAGCGTACTTTTGTTCTCCATCAATCAACGACTCGAATGATGCGTAACGGAGAATTTCATCTTTCGAGAAAAAAGGAGATAGGTATGCAAGATCGGAGGGTCAGTGTGTGCCTTAGTGCCTATAATAATACAAAAAAGGGTGTTCAACTTATTTTGGCTACGGGATATACGCAAACCATACTGTTTACGTTGATTTCCATCGTATGCTCGTAATTCAACATCGGGAGATTTTTCAGCTTCTTTTCGCTCTTTTGATGCTGTCATAAACGATTTGTTTATTACATGCACACCATACTCATATTTAAACCGCGGTACATTGCTTGATTACCTTGAACAAATAAATTATATAACCGATGATTATAGAATATAGCCACTATCCATTGTGGAATATTCGATTATTCGACTTCCACTTTGTATCAAAATCTTCAAATGCATAGTTAACAATTAATTGATAGCAAAATTTTGTTTGTACCGTATAGGCTTGAATTGAAAGGATGGCAGTTCTTGGTTTTTTGCATCATGATAATACCCTTGTTCATAGTTATCATCTAATATTTTAGTATTATATCTTCAACCATTTTTTCAATTCTATTCCGCATTTTGGTTGAACTTAACCGTTTCTGTTATCAAAACAACAATGTACCATTATCAATTTCATGTGGCAAACATTTGCTGTCAACCATCTGATTCGGAGTGAGCTTTTCATGTCGAGAGTTCCACCTCAACCAAAACAGAAAATAGCTACAAAAGTGAATCCACCAGTGTATCGCCAATGAAAGCGATCGGTGCTCGAATCCATCTTATACATGGGAACACTCGTTATCTTGAGGAATGTGTGAGGCGATGTAGTCACTTTCTTTACTCGAAGCTGCGATTGAAATACGTTCGTTTGCATTATCGAACGAAATAGGTAGATCGTCGTTATGATAAGGTATCGCAATTTTTCGTGACTATTTCCATTATTTGTTTCATTCTATTATCACTTCGTCTGTGGAAAATCGAAGTACTTGGAAAGATACGGTAACGGTTAGATGTACATAGTTTGTGTTCACAATTACCACACCATTATTTTGTTCTGCCGATTTTTTTCTCTGTAAGACGTTAATTGTCAAAGGTAAAATTCTGTACTATCCCTTCCAATTATAAAAAAACGAC